ATTCAACAATTCAACAAATTAATTTAATTAAACCACAACTTCTTTCAAACTGTTGTGATTTAATACAAGACCAATATGGTAATTTTGTTATTCAACATTTGATGGAAAATGACCCAACAATTATTTCAGACATTATTCAAAAAATTAAAGATGATGTTGTATTTTATTCTAAACAAAAGTTTAGTTCAAATGTAGTTGAAAAGTGTTTGAAATGTTCAACAGAAAATGAAAGACAACCATTACTTGATATATTATCACAACCTGAATCTCTTGATGCATTAGTTGAAGATCAATATGGAAATTTTGTCATTCAAGCATTCCTTGATGCTCTTCCAGAAAAGACAAAAGAAGAAATGGCTCATCAAATTATTCCTCTAATCCCTTCAAACAGTCAATTCTCATATCATGTCGAGAAGAAACTTTTACAATCATTCACAAAATAATTCTTTAATTCTACTCATTGTTTTTAAAGTAATCTTCATCTTTGTTATCATAATGTCACTAAAGTATTTTTTTTCCAAAAAACAATAAAGTCTATGTTTTATTCTAATTTTTTACAACCAAAATTTATCTTCTTGATACTCTGATTATTGTTCAGAACTACTGTAATATGGTGAGGTTTTTTAACAATAATTTTTTTTGACAATTCTTGGTTGAAGTAACAACACCATATCTATGTATTTCCTGAACGTTACAGTTCCAATTATTTTATTAAAGATTCTTGAGTTGATTAGAAAATGAAGTGTCATAACCACTATCAATATAATGCAAAGTTTTTGATAGAAAATTAAAATTTTGTGACGTTTGTAACCAAAGTGAATAAAGAAAGTTAAATTTACAATGTTGACAAAAGAAAGTTAAGAGAAAGAGACTTGTTTTTAAAAAAAATATATATATAGAAACATAGAAAAAAAAGAAAGTTTAGTGTTATGAATTTGGTTATTGTTGTAGAGAATTAGATTAGATTTAAAAATAGAAAGAGTCTATAACATAAAGAAAAAATAAACAAAAGAAATGTATTTGAAAATGATTAACTTTATTACTTGTGTTTAAATGGTTGACCAATACAACAAAAAGCTGAGACTAGTACAGTTAGTTGAAAATTCTTTGAAGAAACAACACATGCCTCTATTAATATTGGTATGAAGTAATTTTAGAATGAGTAGGATTAAATAACGTGTTCAAGAATTGCTGTCATTCTTTTCATAAAATACTACTCATATATAAGTAACAGCAATAATAAGTTGTTACAAATCATTTAAAGTGAGACACACTAAGGTTAATAAAAATTATAACCTTAGAAAACTCGAAAAAAAGATTCAATAAAAATAGAAATATCAAAAAAAAAGAATAACGAAAAAAATAGTTGTAAGAAAATAAATTGAAGAATAAAAATATCATGTTCTGAAAACAGAATTGATAGATGAAGACCATCCTTCAAAATCAGAACCAAACCCGAAGAGTAGTGATATTGTCTTTTCTTTTTTTCCATCTGGGATAGCAAAAGTAATAACATCAGTAATATCTTTAATCTTTTTCATTTTCTTGTTATCGACTAAGTGACAATCACCTTTCTTACAGACAAACTTAATGTCGTACAACTTTTTATTTTTCTTACTTTGGGTTAAAACAAAGAATGCATCTGACATTAAGACACATTGATAGATAGCTTTAGATTTTTCTTTGATGTTTAGTGTACCTTCTCTAATAAATTGTCGTTGTGAATTTGGTTCAATTCCAATAATAACGTCGTTATAATGACTAAGAAACTTCTTATCTTGAATAATCTTTTTAGCTGAATTAAGTTTTACTGTTAATCCACGACCATCATCTAATGCTTGTTTCAAATAATCATACTCTTCAATTGGAGGAGTGGCTTTTAATAATGACTCCAGTAGTAAAACATAACGTGGTAAACGTTGAACTGGAAGAATTAAAAAGTTAGCAAGAATCAAACATTGTCCTGCCCAAGTTGTAAGTTGGTCTTTGATAATTTTAGGCTTCTCACTAAAATCAAATTGAATACCATCATCTGCTTCAACAAGATAACGAGCATAAGCATCATACACTTCTTTCCAGTTGAAAAAATCAATGAAAATATCTGCAATAGAAACAAATGCCTCTTCTTTTTGGCTTAACCATCTCTCAGATATTTTCTTAAATAAACGTGTATGAATCTCGTAAACGTCTTTAAAGTTAGAGAATAATGTGTCAACATCTTCTGGAAGGTTTTGTTGGAAAAATGGGAGCATAACATCTAAACATTGTTTCATAGACTCAACATATGTTTTTTCTGTTGTATACATTTCTTGAATGATGTGGAATCGTTTAGCTTTCTTTAAGTTAAATTCAGAAAGGATTTTCATTTGTTCTTCATTAGGATTAGATTGACCCAACAAAGTTTTAAGATCAGTAACAGACATTCTATTTGATTTCTTCATAACAGGAGCACTTTGTGCAACAGAAGGAAGATGGGTTCTATTACTACCAATAATTGATCTTCTAGTATTAGCCCCAGTATGATCATTGATACCAAGTTTAAATTTCAAATCTGTTTGTGTTGATTTTTCAACTTCTTGTTCTTGGTGTTGTTCTTGTTGTGCTTGTTTAGCAACAACAAGAAGTCTTTCAGATTCTGTTCTTTTAGCTTCAGGAGTTGGAACTGCCATAGTTTCCTTAATTTTTTTAAGTAATTCAATATTTTTATCATTGTTCAATACTTGAATAATTGATTTTCCTATGGCTTTTGTTGAAAGACCAATTTTAGAGTCTTGACAAATTGTATCAATTGCATGAACACAATCTAAAACCATAAACTCCATTTGAATTCCTTCATAAGAAATTAAATACCTAACAATACCAAACAATGAAGATACAATTTGAGTATCAAACTCTTGATAGTGTTTGAGTAAATTAGTAATTTTATCAGTTAACCCAACCATCTTCATATGAGGATATAACCTTTTTTCATATAAACAACTAAATAATGCATTAACAGCCCAAGTAAAACTTTGTTGTGTTGTTTGCTCATTAAATGGATAATCAAGATAATTAAATAATTCATAAATAAGACCAGACTCAAGAAATTCTAACTCATGACCACGAACTAATGAAATTCCATAAGTAATTGCCATTAATAATTCAGCAAGTTCTCCTTTTGCTCTAGACATTAAAGAAGTCATTGTTGGCAAAAATAATTCTTGAGCAAATAATATTTTAACAAAAACTGAACGGATTCTTTCATCAGGTTGAATAAGTAACTGATACAATAATTTACATCCAGTAATATTTTCAAATTCATCTGAAGAAGTAAGCATTTGGACTGCTTTTTCAATACCATGAGCCTTAAGAAACATTACTTGTCCACGAGAATTTGTTGGTTGAATGATATTAGTAATTGTAGAAGAAGCTAATATCCTGTTTTGGTTTGATGGTTCAACAATAGCCATTAATGGTGATAATAAAGGATTAAAGCTATCTATAACATTTGTATTATCATAAATAATATTAGCTATAAAATGTAATAATTCTTGTACTTGAGTACTTGACATTGCAAAAGAAGAATTAAGAGCATCAGTTAATCCACCAATTAATTGACGGTCATATAAAATAGAATACTCAGCAAAAGAAGAAGATGTAAAGAGATCATCTAAAATATGAATAACACAAATACAAATTGATGTCCAATCCTCAAGATGAGGACAACAGATTAAATGGGAAATAAACCCAGAATGAGCGCAATACAACATTTCTCTAAATGCTGGTTGTTCTAATCTTTCATTAATAATATCCAATCCTCTACCATAAGTATCATCATTATGAAGGATATCAAAAATCCTTTGAAAGACTTTTTCTTGTTGTTCAGATAATTGTTTTATGAGGCAGTTTTGAAGTGACATAATCATTTCAAATCCAGTTCTTCTTTAAAATAAAAAAAAATAAATAGAAACATGAGTAACTTCTTATTTTTATTATTTCGTTAGTGTATTTTTATTGGGATGTTCTTTAAATAAAACGATTCAAAAATGATAATTCTAATTTTCAAAGTAAAAGAAATAAAAAAAAACTATTTATTTTTTAATGATGTTTTCTCTTCAAAACAGAACACCTACAGATGAACTTCAAAAATTATTTGATTCAGTAACTAAAGAAATTAATTCTATTAATTTAATTGATAAATCAAATTATTATTACCCACAGCATACTAAAATTATGGAAATTGTTTCAATCCAAGAAGGTACTTTAACAGTAAAATCAGAGTTTTGTATTAATGAAGATTGTTATATTTATTTATACATTCATGGAGAACATTCTTATTTTCAATATACAACAATTAAAAGTAATAATTCTCAAGTAATTCTTTCAACTTTTAAATTATCACAAGAATTTGGTAATATTGATATTAAATTCTTTTGTGGTAATCATGAAATTTATCAAATTTTAAATGTACCTTTAACTGAAAATAAAGAAATTCTTTATACTATTAATGAAGATACTATCATTCTCACTTTTAAAAAACATTCTATTACTTCTGGTAATATACTTCGCTTTTATAAAGCTAATGACTGCTTAAATGATTCTCCAGTTGTTAAAGAAATTAAATTATTTGAAGGAACAATTAAAATGGGAATTTCTTTTCCTCATGGTAAATACGTAATGAAATGGTTTGAAGAAGACATTCATAAACATTATACTCCATATCATTCTTCAATTGAATTTTTGATTTATCTTCATTTTCACTTATTAAAATTATTTAAAAAAAATTAATTGTTAAATAAATGATGTTTCATTTTATTTGTTTTTTTTTAATTCTCATTGAATGAATTTAGTTTTATTATGCTTAACAACTTATTCTTTTATTAACTTGTAACTAACTGATCTACATTCCTTTTCCCTTAAAACAAAATTAAAATTCCTTTTAATCTTTTTTTTACTTTTGTTTTATCATTTTAAATTCAAAAGTAATTAACATAAATGAAAATGTTTTATAATTTTAATAATGAATCAAATCTGACTAAAAAAAAATTACTTTGTAGTACTTATTATTGATAATAGAATTATATTATACTTAATAATTTGCAAATAAAAATACTTACAGTTTTTCTTCTAAATTTTATAACATTTGTAAGTTAGTGGGAAATATAATGAAATGTATTATTACCAAATTACATAATATTAATTGCTATGCTCGTATTAAATTATAGCAACTTAAATAATAACCATTTAACAAATGTAGGTATTTGCAATTAAATTACAGTTTTTATATTGAGATATTCTGTTTTGTTCTATAACAAAACTCTAATTAAAATATAAATAACATAAATACTTTCTATTACTGTTTTGTAATTCATGAATTCCATTAATCTATAAAAGGAAAACGGTGATTCTTATGAAAAGACTGACTCTTACACAACCTTAGGAGATATACTAACTTTATAAAAACTCATATCAAAAGGAAAAATTATAATTCATATTAAAGATCAAGTGATAATAAAGTCTTATGTTTTTTAGTGAGAATTAATTACTAATTTGTATGTAATTTGGTATGCTTGATACTTAGGTATAAAAAATGAAAATCTTCTTTATCTTCAAAGTATGTGTATTTCATTTGCTGTTTGCAAATAAAGAGTCTAAGAGTTGTTTGAGAAATACAGTGTTGTGATATAAATTGAATGAATAACAATGAGGATGAGATTTTGAGTTGATTCTTTTTTGATATGACAATATCATCTCATTCGTTTTATGACATTAACTTTAAATTCCTCAAACAACAATGATGTTTTCTGTATAATTTGTGGTATTATTTAGTCGTTTATGGCATAAGTAATGTTTCATGAAGATGTGATTTGTATAGTTATTTCAATGAGTATTTTTTTGATTATTTCAAGGTTTGTGATGAAAAAAATAAATCACATTATTGGAGTGATGCAATTCTTGAAATTTTCTTTTTGTGTTTTTTTTAAATAAACTCATTCTTATACCCCCATTAAACTCACAAACACAAAAGAGATGACACAAGTAACAACCACCCAAGGAAGTGTACACATTGTTGAAGAAATCCCATGGCTCGAAGCATCAGTTCAAGAAGTGATAGTACAATACAAATATTATGTAGACAGTATCAGAAATGAGACGTTCCAAGTTATGCCAAATGAACCAGTTGAGCAAGCAATCAAACGAGGAGAAGGAATATTTGATAGATTAGACGAGGTGGAACGAAGAAGGAAATTAGTAGTAGAAAAGGGGAAAGAGGCAATGCAAAGAGTTGAAAGTTTATGGTGTGTCATAGAAGGAATATTAAATAGGTGTAAAAATGATGAAGAAGTAGTAGGTAAATCAATGAATGAAGTAATAAAGAAAATCATTGAACTTGAGAAACGAAAAAAGAAGGAACTTATTAAACCACTTCAAACACAGATTAATGCAATAGAAAAACAATACAGGGAAAAGAAATTAGAGTGGGAAACACATCTCAATGTTTGTGTAGAAAATAAAATAAAAGAAGAAAGACAAAAGAAGAAAGAAGAGAAACAAAAGAGGAAAAAGGAGTATAAAATGAAGATGTTACAAGAAGAAGCTAAGAAAAAAGAAGAAGAAAAGAAAAAACAATGTTGTCAAGAGACAGAAGAACAATTAAGAATTAAAGAAATGAAACAGTTTGAAGAATGGACAAATAGAAAGGTAGGAGGTGTATTATTTGATTCATATGTCTCTGACTGGAATCAGAGAACATCTGTTTGTGACAAAATGTTAATTGGGAAAGAGCATATTTTGTTTGTTATAGAAGACACAAATGGAAATAAGTTTGGAGGATATATTGATGCTAAAATCAACGTAATTGGAAATTGGATGAAAGACCAAAAAGCATTTTTGTTTTCGTTAAGGTCTAATGGTGGGTTAAGTAATATGATGAAATTCCCTTTAAAACAAAACAAAAAAACATTCAATCTGGGAACTAAATCCGATAACTTTTTATTCTTGCTTGGGGATGGATTGGATATTTTTGTATACAAAGGCAATAATAAGTCGAAGTCTTATTGCAGGCAAAACTTCATCAACTGTAATGGAATTAGCAATACATTGTGTGGAAAGAAAATGTTTACACCAAGAAGGATTGTCATTTCTCAGATGCTTTAAACCCAATGGTTTAAGTGTTTTGGTTTTCAACTATTAACATGTTCATAAACCATAACCACAACGCCTTACAAATGATAAAATTAATTAAATATCATAAAGTCTAATGATTATGTTATTTCTTTTTGGTGGTATGATAAAGTTATTGGATATTGTCTCTCTTTATATAACAATAATTTTGTTTCAAACTTTACAGATTTTATTTATTTAGTCTAATTTTATAGTTATTAGAATATAGTATTTTCTGATTTTTAATACATAAAATTAATCATAAGAATATAAAAACACAATCAAGACATAACATAAACACACAATACATCAATTAACAATGAAGAATAATAATAAATAGTCAATGGGTTAATGTTTTTTTAGGTGGATATTTATATATTATATGAAAGTCTTTTTTTCTATAACATTAAAATGAATTATAAGTGTTTTACTTCTATTCATATCTTTTCCAGACAGTGTCTTTGTTCATTATTATAATACTTTTAAAAATAATGTAATGACATTTTTACAGAAAAGAAGTGAATATGAAAAGAAAAAACAGATGGGTTTGTATATAAAAGAGTAATCATATATTTATTTAAATAGTAAAATATAGAGTTATTCATTACTTATTTAGCTTCAATAAATTTTATTTCTATTCTAATTTGTTATTTCAAGAATAAGCATATAATCTCGTGTTATATTATGTTTAATTAATATGGAAAGTTTACAAAACATTAAACATATTATTAGTATCATTTATTTTAATTCTTTGATTATATTTATTTAAATTTTAGTTGATTGGTTATTTTGATATTTTCTGGATGTGTTACTCAATGAATTGAAAAAAAAACACGTTTAATATTAATCTTTTAGTTATATTAATTTTATCAATCTATCTGTAGTTATATCTAGTATTTTATTATATTTTAATATGATCAAGATTTGTTGGATAATCAAATAATAAAATTACCATGATTTTAATATAATGTGTTTGTTATAGTACTGACTAATAACTTTTGATCTATTGATATTTAATAATATTATTTTAATATCTCTGTATCAAATAATTTAGTTTGTTAATTTTATTTTAGAGAATATTCAATTATATTTTTTATTTCATAAATTAAATTAATAACAATATCCAGGTAAAAGTTTGTACGGGTACGAAAATTAGCAAAGAAAAAATGCATCTAAATAATTTACAAAAATGAAAAAAGATGCAAAAAAATTTGCATCAATAGAATATTCCATTTATTATATTTTGCTCCTAACAAATAAAAATAAATAAAAAGTATGATAAATACAGAATATGTAAATATTTATGTTTATATTTTATAATCATTTCTATTCATTTTGTATGAAATATTAATGAAATAAATGATTTGATGAATCACATTTAATTATTTTAATTATTTATATTCTTTTCTTTATATGTTATTTATCTATCGTATTTTTATATATTTATTTCTCTGTTTATATTATTTATAATATGTATATTATTCTTATTATTTTATTATTATATTCTATTATTTTATTATTTTTCTATTTATATTATTTAGATTTTCTTATTGTTATTCTTTTCTATTTAGTTGTATTTGTTTATTCATCTTTATCATTTTTATATTATTATCATTTATATCTATTTTCATTTTATATTTATTCTCTTTTGTTTTATATTAATATTAATTTTATCTTTTATATTTTGATTTTATTATTATATCATTGATTATCATTTCTCGTTTTATTTATCATTTATTCTTATTATTCTTTTGTTTTTATATTCTATATCATATATTCATATCATTTTCATTTATATTTTATCACTTATTATATGTTATAATAACATAACACATATGATTGATTATATAATAAACATCATGTTGAAGTTATACACATAAATAATAAACATAAAGAGAGTAAAATATTTTTCATTAATAAAATATTGTTAATCATTTTACATCATTAAATTAGACACTTTTATTG